CAACTGACATTAAAAATCATAAAAAATTTTCATTATTTTTCGTTTCAAAGGAAAATGGTAAGATTCTCTGAAGAAAACACTGAAGCTGATGTACAGCTATAGTACAAAGCATAGCTCATTAGGGCTACAAATCAGAGATGCAGGTGGGGTGCAGCAGGTTTCGAAAAGGAGCTGAAATTACCCTTCAGAATGAGCTTTATTAGGATTGACAGCCTCACAACCATGGGGTGGGGCACATGATAAGGCTTTAAAGTGGGAGGGCATTACGAGATCATTAGGAGAGTTTTATATCATACCGGACACAATATGACGAGGCCTTGAAGAGAGAGGACTTTCTCTTAAAAGACCCGAACAGAAGCTTCATTGGGACAGATACCCTGAAGTGGAAGGGCAGAAAAGATGCCTACGGTGTGCAGCACGGTAAGGAGATTTCTGACTTGGGCAGGCGTTGGGAAGTTCTACACCACATGATTTAGTCTGGCCTAAATAGTCTAGCCTATAAAGGGGCAGACATTAGGTAGGACCAAACATTTATCTTGGGAGAAGGGCTGCAAGGCCACAAAGTGTATGTGGCACAGCTCCTTAACTCTCCCAGAGACAGCTGCAGAGGGACATGGCCTGATTTGTGGGAGAGAGACAGCTAGAGGGTCTGTGATCTATCAATTATATTTTATTGATGCAACTACTTAGTAATGCGTTGTCTAAATTTTATTTGTTCTGATTTTTTAAAAACTTTTATTTTCTCCTCAAAGGAAAGATGTTTTGCTCATATATATGTGTCATTTTAAACCTCAACCTCCTGAAAGATGATTATGCTTTGAGAGCTGTTCATAGCCAAATAAGTAATTAAAAAACTAGGCATTTAACATAAGTAATATTGAGAATACATCTAAAATACAAATTTACATTTGTCAATTTACAAATTTATTCATCCATCCATTAAGAAATAGTCCAGAGCACCTTTACAGGAGGACAGGCCAAGTCTATCAGCCACTGGGCCAGGCCCAGCTCTTCTGGAGTTCAGCGTGGCTTGGAGCATTAACCAGTATGAAATATTCAGGGGTACTCTAGTGAGGGACAAGGGGAAGAGCTTTAGGGACTAGGAGACACTACCCACTTTGGGGGAGTCAGCAAGTAACCTATGTCACTAATTCATCATGATCATTCCATGACACTGGGGTCGGTAATGACAAGAGCAAAAGGCAAGTCTTACCAAAGTTAAGTCTTATTTTGGGGACAAGATATTCTATTTTTTTTTTAGTTGGAAAAAGAAAATACCACAAACCATAATACTTCAAGTACTTAGGAAGATGAGACTTGCTTATTCATATAAGTGAGGGGTACCTTTTATAAAAACTACCAAGAAGAGGCTTGACACCTATATTTTAATACTCCACATATCTGAGATGTTGGCACATAATGCACTGTTCAGCATTTGATTTCACAGCCTGTGGTGAATTTAACATGGTGAAGGCTCAAGAAATGGATATTTTGGAAAGCCCAGAGCATTTACACAATACCTTTAAATTAGCGATCTGCTGTATGGCACCTTTTAAGATGCCATAGAGCATCTTAGATACCCTTAGTTTTCAAATAAGTACACAGAACATGTAAATGCTAATGTCTTGACCTGTAGTTGGTGAGGCAGAGGCACACACATTCTAATGAAAAATGACAGGTCACTCTGTCCACCCAAGAAGACACGCTGGGCAGTAGCCTCAGAAATAAGTGAGATGCATAATGCAGCTCTGGGGGTGGAGAGCCTGAGGCTTCCTCTGGGGGAAAACCCCTAATTTTGGCTCTGGGTGGGACTAAGCTACTAGACAAAAACAAAGCCCTCATTTGCTGAAAATGTGACAAATGTTACCAATTATTTTAGGAGCTTGCAACTGACATTTTTTTTCCTTTTAAAAATATTTCTATATTTTACTAATATCTTGTATATTTTACTAATATCTCTTTAGTTCTCTTCACAGAACTATAAATTATTCAATGTAATTCTTAGCTCCAAGGTTAGTTTCCTAGCACATATTCTTAAATATGATGCAATTATTTAATATCAAGATACATT